CATAGAAAAAATCTTTAAAAATCTTCTCAAGAACAGCAAAGACAAAATTGTCTGGGGGGTTATATTGAAGGGACAAGTCACATTGCAAGGGGAGATAATCAGGAAAAGACAAATATAGGGTGGGGTCATTCAAAAATCTTCTCAAAAACCACTGGGCCAGAAAAGCTGAAATTTATGTGATAGTGTAGATTCTGAATTGTTCAAATCATTAAACCACGGGGTAGGGTGGGGCCACAATAGGGAATCCAAGTTTTACATTGAAATACAAAAATAAATCTTCTCAAGAACCACTGAGCCAGAAAAGCTGTGACTTATGCTGTAGCATCCAAGGGAAGTATAGATTCTAAATTTTTAAAATCATGATTCTAGGGGTAGGGTGATGCCACAATATTGCTTTCAATTTTTACATTGAAATATGTAGGCAAATTTTTATAAATCTTATTAAGAATCACTAAGCTAGAAAAGACGAGATGAGGTGAGCAATGTGGCCCAAGGGCCTCTTTGTTTTGAGAAATAAGATTGAGATTGGAATTATTGAGCTTTTGCAAATGTAAATATTGGAAGGAAGAAAAAAACCGATTTAATTCACATATTAATTGGAGCTGGAATTAGATGACACAATTAGATGTTAGGAACTTTGAAGCTGTGGTGTGTTTTATGTAAGCATTTTTAACTGGAACATCTGGTGCAGTATTGAGTAATTAGGACAATCACCTCGTGTTGTAATTAATGAACCACAACTATTTCATTTTGTTATCAGTTGGTATTGGGGCCTGAGAAAGCTGCTGATAAAGACAGGATTCTGTAGTTAATAGTTGTACTCTTTGTTTTCTTTCAAGTAAAGATTACAAAGGCAGCTAGGCTAGCAAATCTAAAAAAAATATTTGTTTTTGTTTTCAATTTCAAGCTTTTAAGTGCATAACTCAATAAATCCTCATGGTCTTTGTTTTTAACAGTTTTTTTTTTTTTGGCAAATGAAATATTCAACTCCAAAAGTGGTAGAAATAGCACATATTTCTAGAAAGATTAATAATGCATATAATTTTAATTATACAAGAAATTTATTCATTTTGAAATTTTAAAAGGATAACTTTTTGCACACCTGTATTTTGATTTTCAGTTGATTCAGATGATGATGATGAGGTTGAAGATGATGATGATGATGATGATGATGCAGCATACTATGAACAGGAAGTTGGGGAAGCCCCTGATCCAGGTACAGTATTCATTATCATACTAATAGTAAACACTTTGTTTTCATTTTTATTTAAAACATTTTTTGCACGTAAATCTAATTAGAATTTCAGTGCAAGACATTTCCTGGAGGTACTCCAAATTTATATGTATGCTACATGTATATCAAATTTAAGAATTTGGGTGATACACGCTGTGTATTGAGCAAAAAATTTCGATACAATATGATACAATATTTTTTAAAGCGATATGTGATATATTGGATTCTAAAACAAGTCCATCAAAAAAGGCTTATTAATCATTTAAATCATGGATTTCATAAAAAAAAATTAGTGTTTTATTACCCATTTCAAAGTTCTTATCCCATAGTCAGTAAATAAAACACTTCAAATCGAAACTTTTGATGACTGTAAAATCAACATGTTCAATTAAAATTGTTATGTATTTTATAATGACTATAGAAACTGTGTTATTTCTTTTATTAATCTATAATACATGTAATTGATCAGTTTTAATGCTAAAAAGTGAAATATAATCTTTGCTGATTAAAATTCCCATCTTTTTAGCAGAATTACTAGAAAAACTTCTTGTCCGATACGTATTGGTAGTAATTTTTCGATACAATATTTTTCTTGAATATCGATACATATCGATATATCGATATATTGATACAACCCTACTGACATGTACATGTAAATATGTTTTTGTTACAAACCCATTAGGGGAGTTCCCTATAGTGATAGTCTGTCCATCCAAAATTCTTTGTCTTGAGCATACAGTATTTTCTATCCACTTAGGCAGTGCAGCTTAAACTTTTTCAATTGTCTGCGAGTTTTTAAGGTCAAAATCAAGGTCATGAAAACCTTACTGTGTAAAAACTTCCATTGAGCAATATATTCTATCCCCTGGGGCCAAGGATAGCTTAAACATAGACTGCTCATAGTGCAGACACTTTGAACAAATTTCCTAGATAATATGTGTACATTAACAGTATATGTAAAATCCTTTTCTAAAGAACATTATTAGCTCTACTGGTCAGAGACCAGAAGAGCTTATGTGATAGTAAGGTGTCCGTCATCTGTCCGTCTGTCTGTCCGTCTGTCTGTAAACAATTTTTCAAAACGCTACTCCTACAGTTTTGGTCTGATTTTAATATAACTTGGCACACAAGTAGAATACACTAAGATACATAAAATAGTGCATTGGTTTTTGATTTTGGTGAATGGTGTTGCCATGGTTACTAAAAATAGAATTTTCTGTAAAATTCCTTGAAAATGCTACTCCTCCTACAGTTTTGGTCTGATTTCAATATAACTTGGCACACAAGTAGACTACTCTAAGATACATAAAATAGTGCATCGGCTTTTGATTTCGATGATCGATGTTGCCATGGTTACTAAAAATAGAATTTTGTGTGAAATTCCTTTAAAATGCAATTCTCCTACAGTTTTGATCTGATTTTAATATAACTTGGCACACAAGTAGACTACACTAAGATACATAAAATAGTGCATCGGTTTTTGATTTTGATGAACGGTGTTGCCATGGTTACTAAAAATAGAATTTTGTGTGAAATTCCTTGAAAATGCTACTCCTCCTACAGGTTTGGTCTGATTTCAATATAACTTGACACACAAGTAGACTACTCTAAGATACATAAAATAGTGCATCGGCTTTTGATTTCGATGATCGATATTGCCATGGTTACTAAAAATAGAATTTTGTGTGAAATTCCTTTAAAATGCAATTCTCCTAGAGTTTTGGTCTGATTTTAATATAACTTGGCACACAAGTAGACTACACTAAGATACATAAAATAATGCATCGGTTTTTGATTTTGATGAACGGTGTTGCCATGGTTACTAAAAATAGAATTTTCTGTGAAATTCCTTGAAAATGCTACTCCTCCTACAGTTTTGGTCTGATTTCAATATAACTTGGCACACAGGTAGACTACACTAAGATACATAAAATAGTGCATAGGTTTTTGATTTTGATGAACGGTGTTGCCATGGTTACTAAAAATAGAATTTTGTGTGAAATTCCTTGAAAATGCTACTCCTCCTACAGTTTTGGTCTGATTTCAATATAACTTGGCACACAAGTAGACTACATTAAGATACATAAAATAGTGCATCAGCTTTTGATTTCGATAATTGATGTTGCCATGGGTACTAGAAATAGAATTTTCTGTGAAATTCCTTTAAAACGCTACTCCTCCTACAGTTTTGGTCTGATTTTAATATAACGTAGCACATAAGTAGACTACACTTACATACTTAAAATAGTGCCATAGGTTTTTGATTTCCATGAACAATGTTGCCAGGGGTTCTGGTGTTAGGGCGGGGCTCTATTGATTATATAGTGAAAATGCATTTATTCTTTGAAAATCTTCTTCTCTGCTTCAGGGTATCAAATAAACTAACTAAGCACATAGTTATGATGAGCAAGAGTGCCTCTTTCAAAATTGTGATATTTATGGCCCCAGGGTCAGGGGTTCTGGTATTAGGGCGGGGCTCTATGGATTATATAGTGAAAATGCATTATTTTTTGAAAATCTTCTTCTCTGCTTCTGGGTATTGAATAAACTAACTAAGTACATAGTTATGATGAGCAAGAGTGCCTCTTCTAAAATTGTGAATTTTATGGCCCCAGGGTCAGGGGTTCTGGTGTTAGGGCGGGGCTCTATTGATTATATGGTGAAAATGCATTTATTCTTATTTACAAGATACTCAGGTGACCTATAAGGCCCGTGGGCCTCTTGTTCTTTCCCCTTGGCACACAGACTGGAACATCGTCCAGGGAATGCTACATGTCAAGACCATGTGCTCTCAAAGTCAAAAAACTTTTTTTTCCTAAATGAACGTTGTAAAAAAAAAATCTGTAATCTGTCAATCTGTTTATCATGAAACAGTTGAAATATATTTTTTTATATATCAACCAAACTTGTTTCATTATCCTTTAAGATACTGTAAACCAGCTTTTATTCGTGTGCAAGAGATTTTTGCAAATTTTGCGAGAACCTCATCATCGCGATTATTTCTTGCCTTGAACTGATCTTTAAAGTTTCTGTGTCTATCAACAACAGATCAAAAAAGCTTGATCACAATAATTAGTTGTTGCAAACTAGTTTATGCAAATCCTGAAATAAAATCGTCACTAATAAAAGTTGGTTTACAGTACCTTATTCAAACATCAGTGAAAAATAATGAAATGTGTATACATGAAAAATTCTGTATTCCAGATTTATTTCAAAGTACCAGGAGAAAGAGAAAGTTTGTTTCAAAGTCACCAGTTCCTCACAAGAAGAGGAAAGCAAACATAGAGAGAAAAGGAGACAAGTCTAACAATAAGGACAGTATGAAGGGAAAAAATGCCAAATTTTCTCGGCATTCAAAACCTGATGAGTCGTGGAAAGTGAAAGGAAAATCCAAAGGTGGAAAATCAAAGCACAAAAACAGGCCAGATAATAAGGTTAAAAGATCCGGAGAGATAACCAAGAAACCCAAATTTAAATCAAAACGAAAAGGCAGAAAATGATGTAAACGTATGAAGAGAATTAAAGTAAATTAAGTACATGTATTGAAGACTGAGTTTTGTTTTGGTGTCCTGGAATCTTTTTTCATTTAATAGATCTAGATCTGTTTAACTATTGTGAAGTTTAGAGGGTACTTTTGTAAATGAAAGGAAATACATGTTGAAGATGGCAAAATTTTGTTGCTTACGCTCAATTTTGTTGCATTTTATGTTTTACAATGACCAGCAATATTTTTTCACTCATGGTATAAGAAAAAAATCATTCTTCTACAACATATATTTATTTTAAAGTAAAAAACATATTTATATCACCGATATATATCACCGGTACTTATACAAAATATTTCAGGATATCGTACACGTATAGAATTATCACATAGCAGATTCTTCCGAGTTTTAGTGGCTTAGTAGTACAATAAAGATGAAAGGCTACAAACTTGTTTGGATATTTTCTAAAAGGAATCTGATACAGTTTGTAAACGTTCAACGTAATCACCAGATAAACATTCAAACGAAGCTATGAACACTAAGAAAATTTAAAGAATATAAATAAATTGTTGCTCTATGTTCCTTTAACTACGACTACTACGCAGTCTAGCTTGTGCTTCAGCGAATGCCCTGAGGTATTCTGCATATGTTACACCCTGGGGCCCTCGAGGGCCTTGTACCCCAGCATCACCCGGCAGTCCGGGGTACCCTGGGTTTCCTTGTTCGCCCTCTATCCCGTATTCTCCTCTAGGACCGGGCCATCCTGCATTACCAGGGGGACCAGTATCTCCGGGCGTTCCCTTCTCTCCCATACGTCCTGGGATTCCTATTTCTCCGGTTTCACCTCGGTCACCAATGGGCCCCGGTTCTCCAATTACACCTGGCATTCCCATGTATCCCATAAATCCTGGAATTCCGGGATATCCGGGGATGCCTGCAAGAGAATCATTTCAGCAAATTACAAAATCATTTATTTTCGTAAATACATGAATCGTCAAAAAGAAACTTAGTGTCAAGAATGGTATCAAGTTCGGACTAATGCCTTAAATATCAGTAACATTATCCAGCGATGGGGTTTACAATGAGAAGCCGATGCGTTTATTGATAAAAATGACGTGGTTGCCGGCCGGACACCTGTTGTAATCGGACGGTTACTGAGGCCATTTTGCGAATCGGTGGGGGTCATCGGTAAAAAATAAGTTATAATAAAAAATTAGCGATGTCTCCACCGATGCCCCACATCGCTCATCATCGGCGACCCATCTTTCAAGGATTGGCCGATGTATGGCCGAGCACCGTCAAGTGTCCGTTGAATTTGAGGTCATTGGGTGGTTGAATGGTGGGCAACAGACATCGGCCGATCATCGGTCGATGTTCGATCAAACATTGGCCCATAGTCGACCGACGCACGATCGATGTTCACCAATGTATGAGCGATGTAACATACATCAGCTGATTACTCTGGAGCATCGTTTTATGATTAGAAATTCATCGCTGGGCCTTTGTAAGTCCGACCGCCAACCGCGCCATTTTTATCAAAAAACGTATTGGTTGCCCATCGTATACCCCATCGCATACCCCATCGCTGGATAATGTGACTGATACTTAAATTAGGAAAAAAGGAAACATATCGTGTAGAACCTATTGTATAGATACGTTATTTATATTAAAGCGGCACATGTCATGTCATTTAATTTGATTGCTTGATTGTATATTGTTTAACGTCCCTACAGAGAATTTTCAACTCATATAGAGACGCCACCACTTGCCGGTGGAGAGCTGCAAATTTTGTCTTATACTCGGTACACCTACTGCGACATGGGACCTCGGTTTATACGGTCTCATCCGAAGGACCGGTCTCCACATCCCACAGATTAATAATTTTCACATAGTACAAATTTTCCGAATATACGAGTCTTTGCTTTATATAATTTTGAAAAGTATGTCTTCATAGAATGCGCAAGTATAAGGAATTTTTATGGTCAGCACAAATATATACATATGTATTAAGCATCAACAATAGTTTATACATGTATAAATAAACTTTACAACACAGCATTCGCATATCTATCGTATGTAAAACTTAAGTTCGGAGGATGTTTTAATACTAAGACAACTTTTATCCATGCATTTTCGAAAATGTATCTTATGCTATAATAGAACACTAAAAACAATATCATTTTATTTATTCCGTTAGAATATTTTGAGAAATCCAAAAAAAAGGAAATGTAGAAATGTCAAATTTAAATCATGGTCGGGAGATGTTCAAGGCTAGTTCATAACAGAATCAAGAAACACACGTGTATATGCCATTAGACGCTACTTATCATATGAGACTCGTATGGTCACTTGGTGAATGTATCAATCTACGGAAGAAACACCTAAACTCGGCAAGTAAATTAGCTCATTAGAGGTCGCTGCATAGCTCATTTGAGTCGCTTTTCTCAGTCATTTTTTGTCTGTTTACTTTTCGTATTTTGGACTTAAATTTATTCAAATGAAAGGTCTCATTCGATTTCAATACAAGAGGATTGATTGATTGATTGTTGTTTTACGTAAGAACAGCTAAACCTTCTGAATGTGTACGTAGCTTCGATTCAAGTAGTTGTCCAAATCGATCCTCCGGGAGCTGGGCATGGCCAACATAGGTAATAAAAATTTTCATAAAAATGTGTAGAATAAAAACACGTTAAAATCTTTTCAAGCACAGCAAAGTCATTATTAGTCATTTTTACATGTATATGCATCCACAGGTAGTGTAGGTTCAAGTTTGTTCAATGATCATGAAAACGGAGGGTTGAATGGGGCCTAATTGGGCTATTTCCATTTTGTAAAGAAGGAAAATCTTCAAATCCGGACTCAAAGGGTTAGGGTTGGGAGAGCGTAGGTAGTCAGAGTTTTACATAAACTGTATTAAGAAAAACCTTAAAATTTCTCAGGAACAGCAAACCCAGGGATAGTACCGGGTATGTATAATATAGAGTCTATAGCAGGATCTTAAATTTTTTAGGTTGATACTAGTATTGATGCATCTTAATGTTGCTTTATTTACATACCCGAAAACCTTGAAAATAAGACGGATTTAATAATAAGCCGGTTTTGAAAATAAGCCACCTATTTCTTGCATTAAAAATTACTCGAAAATAAGCCTGTTTTGAAAATAAGCCAGTCATGACAATGTCGTTTAGGAAAGAAGTTAAACTATAAAAAAAAAAAAAATATATAAAGTGTGTTTCTTTTTTTAAGTTTACGCCTAAACTTAAATTCTCTATTCTAACTTTTTGTTGGAGTACGTCTAGCAATTGTCATTGGTAAAAGCTCACTGTTTAAAAAAGGGAATTAAAGACACTGGCGCACCTAACTCTTACAGAATTTTATCTGGAAATTTTATTTTTTAGAAATTGTTGAACAAATAGTTCTCAATATCAATGACAAATGCATTGACAACAAGCTGTGATAACGTTCTCGTACTTTACCAGTTTTTTTAAAATTGATAATAAGCCGTGATTTGAAAATAAGATGGTTTTGAAAATAAGCCCCCGCTTTCTTACCAAAACTTAAAATAAGCCGCGGCTTATTTTCAAGGTTTTAGGGTATTGTAACTTGAGACTTAAGGTCTATATTTTGGTCCACAGCATCAACAATCTGCCAGGCTCTAGTGAATTTTATAAACGTTGTGGCCTGTAGACCTCGTTATCATTGGGTTTAATCTCATAGAAACCGCATTTTTATTGCATTATGCGAAAAGTGTTTTATGTCATACTTGCGTGGACCCTGAGGACTTTTTTGCCATGAAAGTACTATCAGTTCAAGAAGGCAAATCATTGTAGAAAATGCCAAGAAACCTACATGAATATTTAAACACTTAAAACTTTTCTAAAACTGGATTTCGGTTAGAAACACATGCATACGGTCCATGTATTGTAGCCCTTTTTCAAAGGACAGCAACTTGTTTTATACCCATTTATTATAGAAAACCGTCTTTTATATTAAAAAAATTGTATGTATTCCAAGCTAAAGGTTATTTTTAACCATGATCCACCCACTTTCTTTACAGCTTTCAAGAGTAGCTTACCTGGTGGCCCGGGTGGTCCTTGATTTCCCCTTTCTCCCTTTCTTCCCATAGGTCCGTGAATACCCTGAGACCCCTGTGCCCCCTGCTTTCCTTGAGCGCCATTTTCGCCTTTTGGTCCCCTTGGTCCTTTAGATCCACGATATCCCTTAGGGCCAGGGAATCCGCGCTCTCCCATGGGTCCCTTGTCACCATCTTTACCAGCCGGGCCTGGCAAGCCTGGTTCTCCATCGTCTCCTCGGCCACCTCGTTCACCTGGAAAAATACATTTATGTGAAATTAAACTACATGTACCAGAGATGCAATTCAATATGGAACGAAGTAATGTGGGTGCGGGAGGGGGGTAGGGTTGCGTCCTGAAGCACCACGAATCTTTAGTAATGCAAATTTAACGTATTTTCAAACATTAAATACATGTAGGCATGGGCAACAACATTTCTTTAAAGAAATTATATGCTAAAAATTTCCAATCTCAGGTTGATCATAAAAATTCACTTTCAGGTTTGTATAACAAAAAACAGAGAGATGTGCTATGAGACGATTGGCTCATGGGCACATGTCTCCTACCCAGTGAAGTAGGGCAAAAGCTACGGAAAAGTATCTTTACACAAAAAAAGTTTTCTGATCTTGACCTAGGACAATTGTTTCAAGGTCACTACAAACCTTTTACATATGGGAACATATGTGAAATGTTGGAGGGCGTATAGTGATCGGACGGTTGTCCGCCTGTCTGTCCGTCCGTGTCCGTCTGTTACGCTTTGGGGTAGCTATCTCTTATCCGTAACTCTACTTTATTTACCACCCAATGAAATTTATTGAGACTTACAGAATCTTTGTTATATATTGCTATTGTGCACCCCCTATTTGACTTTTTGATCTGACACGTCTTTTTGGTTTTCCACAGCAAATCATGAGCACAGCCATTTTTTTTTCTATAATATTGAAGGGTAACCATCTCTTATACGCAACTCCTCCTATACCACTGTATAAAATGTAAGGATAATTTCACAGATTCTTTAATAAATAATGGCATGTTTGCACCACTTAATTTACATTTTAATTTGACACTTATTTCGGGTCTCCCAGTGCACAACATGGACTTTGCCTTTAAAACCATATGGGTGGCGTGGGTACACATGGATCATTTAGTGAGCTTATTGCTCACAGTACCTCTAGTTTTCATTAGGAGGGATTCTTCTCATATTTCTTTTGTTTAAAAATTAATGAAATATTCACAGAATCAGAATAAATTTAACCGTTTGATATTAGAGGCAGGGTCATGTCAAGGTCATTAAATTTTCCCTGGACATTAAGACTAAAAATTAATGTTCCCAGTCATTCGATGCATACTTCTACTTCAAAAGATTAAATGTTTTTCTTCTTGTGTAAAAAATATAACCATTTAGGGTTTATAAGATGATATAACCAAATTTAAGTAAAATGGATATTGGATAATCCTAATTTTCTCTATTATTTCTTCAATTTTTTTTAAAGGATATTAGATATTTTTGATATTTTTCCTGTATTCATTTTTTTAGGCCACCTGAGTAAATCAGGTGATCTATTGCTATCCGTTTCAGTCCGTCGTCGTGAGTATTTTTTTAAAAACATTTTCAGCTTATTCTCTTCAACCACTCAACCAATTTCAACCAAATTTGGCATAAAGCATCTATGGGTGAAGGGGAACAACAATTGTGAATTTCATGGTCCCTGCCCCCTGGGGCCAGAGAGGTGGGGCCAAAACCACTAAAATTAATGCAATCTTTAAAAAATTTCTTCTGTACTCCTGAACAACAAGCATTCAAACTGTTGGCATGATTGTAATCAGCATTGAGATCTCTACCAAAATTGTGAAATTCACGACCCCAGGGTCAGGGGTTCTAGTGCTAGGGCGGGGCTAAATAGATTATAAAGTGAAAATGCATTATTTCTTTGAAAACCTTCTTCTCTGCTCCTCTGCATTAAATAAACTGAACAAGTATATAGTTATGTTCCAAAATTGTGAAATTCATGGCCCATGGGTCAGGAGTTCTTAGGTGCTAGGGCGGGGCTATATAGATTATATAGTGAAAATGCATTCTTTAAATGAAAGTCTTCTTCTTTGCTCCTGGGCATGTAATAAACTAAATACTAGTAAGTACATAGTTATGTTGAATAAGGCTGCCTCTTCCAGAATTGTGAATTTCTTGGCCCCAGGATGAGGGGTTTCTTATTAAACTGAATGAACTACCGATATAGTTATGATGAGCAAGTGTCCTTCTTCCAGAATTGTGAATTTTAAGGCAATATTTCAAGGAATAGGGATCTATCTTATATAATAAAAAATCATGTGATATAAACCCATTATTATGAAAATGACTCCTGTTCAAGAGAAATTGGAGGGCGAAACAAATTTACCTGGCTGTCCATGAGGGCCTCTTGGGGCAAATTGAACGACCACAAATCTCTTTTGGCGGTCATGATCAGCTGCAATGTATAAGTACATTTTTATAAGTTTAGGGCTTATAATGACATTATTTTGCTGCGTTATTTTTCACAATACATGTTATACTGTGAGGTTTATAAGCCATTGTTTCTCTCTGTCGAAATTTCCATTATTTTGAAATATGCTTATTAAAAATTCACATTGAACTCGGTCTCAAAATTAAAAAAACACATTTTACCCCGTAGATTTAATGTAGAATAAAACGCGAAAAAAAGTTTTAATTTGTATTTACTTACGAGCGATTTCCTGCAAATCTTCCTCTTGGACGACCATTAAACGTATCTTTTCCTGGAGCGCTAAAATTTCTGATTTGACTAATTCCATATCATCCGAAAGTTTTTTGATTTCATATTGAATATCAGCTAACACGGACACGGTACCGAGGATCAGGAAAGTGATATAAGTTTTCATGGTGCCGAGGAGAACAGAGATGTGAAGGAAACTAAAGAACCCACAGACCATAAATAATCGGTAAACAGCAATAAAATTATTTCTAATTCAACATCTGCCCATTTGCTTTAAGTAAATTGAATAGTTATCTGGTTTGACTTTTTGGTCAATTGGTTAATCATCCTTATATTAGACTTTAAGAGATCCAAACTTAAAGTGCAAGACTCTTGCAGTTCTTTAGTTTTCCCATGAATGGATGGAGTCTACTTCAAAAGATTCTAAGGTGATTACGAGAATAGATCGAATACCTCAGCTACGAAGAGGATGGAGGAGTACTAGATAGCTTCCCGAAATTAAAATAAAATATGTAAAAGAGTTTATTCATTGGTTGTTGATATTTAAAAAATGGTTTAGTTTGTTAAATGACAATACATGTATATATCTATGTATGTTTTGGAGATAGTTCTTCCGACAACCTGTTGGTGTTCCCAACTAGTAATTCCCACATTAGTATCAATTGCACCCGTTTATTAGCAGACCTAGTTATGAATTGAATTGAATTATTTTTGTAGCCAAATATGCAGAACTTTTTCAAAAACTTCTAAATGAGGCGAAGAAAACACTTGCTGTGGCCTTCAACACATCATTTAAATAATATGTACGAGATATTTAAGGAATAACTGTCTTATTTTTCGAATTCATGAAGTGATCAATGGATTGGCTTGTGTGTTAATTTGCATAAACGCCGAAGGCGTTTATGCATAAAATTATCACACAAGCCAATCCATTGATCATCTTCATGAATTTGAAAAATCTGACAGTTATTCCTTATATTTACATGCTTTGATTCCGCCAATCCACGGGCTCCAAGCCTGCTTCTCTCTAGGTGTTGTCCCGCCCTGCACGTGGTTTTTTTTTTTTTGGAACCGCGCCAAGACATTCATGAGGAAATCAATTACATTTACAATTGGTAATTTTATCTTGGACAAAGACATTGGAAATGTAAATATTACATGTATCAATTAACAATAGTAACCTCTATAATGTTCACTCGGTATATCCCAGTGAGCTTGAAATAAAAGATACCACAGAATCTGAAACGTCTGTTTCTTATCTGTATTTTACTGGTGAAAAGACGTTAATGGTAACATAACGACCAAGCTTTAAGCCAAAACGCGATGACTTTTTTATCAATCGTCAACTTCACTTATTTATATAATAGTGTTGCATTATGCATGTACTATGCCTAAATAGTAGGCAGGGTTTGACACATGGTGCACGAGCCGGAGGCGAGTGCACTATGTGTCAAACCCTGCCTACTATTTAGGCATAGTACATGCATAATGCAACACTATTGTTATTATTATGCTGACTGTTGTAATTATTTATGCGGCAATCCATTTGACTTTTTCCTGAAAATATCGGTGCTAACACAGCGCACTTGCAAGAACTCAATCAAAATCTTCATGCTAAAATTGGTTGCATGCTTAGTTATTTTGGTTACTAGTATTTTCTCTAAATAAGTCGGGATTTTCTGTCCCAAGGCAACTCATCTTTATTTTCAGTTTTGTTAGTAAGACTGATTTGTTTGCAGACGTCGATTCTCATTGATAATTTTCTTTTACATCCTTCAATCAAGCGTTATATAAGAAAGCGTTTTAATGACCCCACGATATCAGTTCATCCAACGATCTGTATGTAATTAGTTTGAAACTTTGTTGTACACATTTATCTAAGGTTCCTTAGAATAATATAACTGTTTTCAAATAATACTTGTCTATTTTTTACTTCTTGTGTCAATTGTATAAATTAAGTTTATATGTTTAATAAAATTCCTCCAATCAGTGAACGTCTCCGTGGCGTAATCGATAAGGCATCGGACTGACAACCTCATGGTCGTGAGTTCATTCCCGGGGTGAGCATGGAAGGATTTTATTCTGTAAATTAAGCCGTGCTCTATTTCGGCATAGTATGCTTACGCTATATAAATCCTTAGACCACTATGCGAGAATAGTAGGGTATGGGTTATATAGAGACAAACTGACAGGAAGCATAATAATTTACAATATACATGTACACCTGTATATGGGGTTTATGTCTTTCAGTTTATTCGATGAGCATGTTGTACGTAAGAACAATATCTTAAACGAGGCAAGTTGTCGATAAACAAAATAATAAAACAAGTATTGTTTAAAGTCAACATTTTGCAGGTTTTTTGTGGTCGATACAATAATATTGTTAGCAAATATACATGTACAACATACGAGGGCTGTTCAATAAATAATGTCCTCGGTGCTCAGAAAGAAGCAAAAGACGCTTTTCAATGATTTAGTATTCATGATTTTACTAATTAATCTCTTTCAAGTAAAATACATGTCCGTAACATTTTTTATCCAATTTCTGATTGTTTTTAGAACTCATTTTCGGGTATGACCCTTATTATACTGGAAAATGGCAGATCCAATGATTTCCCGGACTTGTTTCTTCCCTCTGAAAGGTGTTTTTGTCAAGTTTGGAAATAGAAACAAGTCAAAAGGTTAAAGATCTGGCGAATACTGTTAATGTGAAAAAACATTAACTTTCTGTTTATCCCGAAAACCCCTTTACTCTTCAGGGCATGCGGGTTTGGACGCTGTCTTGAAGAAATTCAGTGTAGTGGATTCCTGATTCTGGGTCCTTCCTCTAATAAACCTTTTAATTTTTTTGCAAAAAAATTGCTTTTAGACTCCTCCAGAAATTAAACTGTCTCTCCGAATACCAATTTGTACAACAATACCACTAATATTTAAGAAAATTACATATAATTTTGTCTTTGTGCTCTTGAATACCTGTGCTCTTGTCAGACATTCGCCATGTTTATCAAGTACATCTTATGGTAAATTTTGTTTTGAGGGTTTTAATCAATATATTCATGTTCCAATATCTGTTTGAAAATAAAACAAACGTGGATAACTAAAATTACTGATATTAAAATAATTGTTAAGAATTTCGTTTACGCTGTCGTTTTCACTCATTTTTCAAAATATAGGGTGACGTTTGAGTACCAAGCTTTTTTACCGTCAAATGTTTCTTAAAAACAGTGTAAACTACTCCCGATATGATGTCTATCAAATTTGCCATGTGTCTTAAAGTCGATCATACATCATCAAAAATTATTTGTTGAAATTTGGCAACCAGTACATAAGTTGTTATAATTTTTGTTGGGAAGGAGGGTACCCATTTTTGATGCCCATTATATAATTTTTTATCATTAAAATCCACCTGCTCTTTTGTCTATAAAACAGGCACTTGTAGCTGTAAATATATATTTCAGTGAATATTTCTTTGGGATTTTTAACAAGTTTTACGGCAGCTATAATGAAGCTTTTATTTTCACTCTAGTTTACTGATTCTTTACCATTCATTTATAATGCAGTGTCTCGAAAAGCCCTTGTTTCCCAGCTTCTCACGATGAAACTATGTGATGAAAAGTGGTGACATAAACTGTTATAAATTCATGAAAGATTCAATAATGAGAGAAAGTCAAGTTTAATGTCATATGACATCTGTAATGCATGTTACATAGTTCAGAACATTATTTATTGAACAGCCCTCGTATATCATTAAGTAAAGTGCTGACTTACGTTTTCCATACTAATTGTCTGTCATTTATTACAACCTACACATTGTTTTCCCCAGTTACAACAAGGAACACACGGCGGGTGTGACATTCAGCAGGGGATGCTTACTTCTCCGTGGCACCTGATCCCACCTCTGATGTTTATAAGAGAGCCGTGCTCTGCTTCCGTTTATATTGATTGTTCATTTTTTTCAAAGGACAAAGGTAGACTCCCTTTTGACCTCTTTTACAATGATGCAAGATTTTAACAACAAAAACTATTGTAACCCCCGTGACAAAGTGAGTATTGGTTTTAAGTTTATGGGTTACAAAGAGGGCAAAGGAATTAAGGTTAAAAGATATGTTAATTTCCATACTTTCTCATTTCTTTGCAAATTTTCATTGATTTTACAGCACTTTATTTTGAAACATCTGTTTTAGAAATCATCGATCACAAGTTTGCTTATCTACAAAATTTATACATGTATTATAATATATCAAATGTAGCCCTTTAGTTCGGTCAATCAATAGATATATCGACTTCACAGAAAAGCATATCGGCTTGGTCGATATGCTTTTCTGTGAAGTCGATATATCTATGGGTCGACCTCTTCAAAGGGTTAAATTTATATAATATTTTAATTAAGGTTTCGTCAAAGGTCAAGATGTCCATAAAATTATTTTTATAATAGCTCCAAAACTATGTTTGGTATAAAGTCAAAATGTTTACAGTTTATAAATATATCATTGATTAATAGATAGAAAGTATCACTTGATAACAAATATTTTTAAAAAGATATTTTTTGAGAAAAATTGTATCAGAAAATGTGCGTATTAAAAGAGAAATGCACCTGCTTAATTCTGTTCTTTTTGTGAAAACCATCATTGCAGAAATAATACCAGTATATGTTTATCATTGATGGGCAACCTGGACGTGAATGGTCTCTGAAAGGCTGTTATTGAAAGCATGACATGTATAAAGACAAGACCTTTGTAGAACCCGCCAGGACAAACACCACCAAATGTTTTCCCATAGACTTCCATACAAACTTTAGCCCCTTGCACTGATACATATATTGAATTCCGGGCAAATGACCTTTTTGTCGTGAAAGTTCGAGATATTGGAAAACAAAAAATGCCAGAAAAAATATACCGTGCCGTTGCACTTTTACTTTCAATTTCCATTTGTTTACAACTAGGTGCGTTTGACACCAAATGAAAATCTCTGACCAAAGTGCATCCCTCCCTTCAAATTTTTACCTGTAACTCCTATATACCTCAAAGAAACCCAAGTCTTGATATGAGATTTTTATCAACTTTATTTCACTTGTCAAATACATAACATAGACCAATCACGCGCCAGCTAGCATTTTCTCCTCCGCACAACTTTGGGTGTCCAAAATGTCTGCGCCCATGTATTTGTTTATGTAGGGGTTTTTCCTATAGAGTAAAAGAAACATTTATAACAAGTGGTCAATTTAGTAAATTTAGAACACATATCCATTGCTTATCTCACCTCTTGAATATTGGGACTGACAGTCTTAGCTTAAGTACACCATTGGCTGTTACATTTCACACCCCAGTCAATCAGACCCACATCTGTGAAACAGAAAAGATGTCTATAAATTGAAGCATTTTTCTATTTTTCTTTCAAACTTTTCAAATAAAATGATTAATCTAGCATATGTTTTGCTTGTTTTTCTTATTATCTCTAATAATTTCTCAAGGTAGATCATGTTAATCATTCAGGGTAGCAGGTACCCGTTATTAATGAAAAATGAAGAAAATCAGCGGGTTTTTGTAAGAAAAAGCTGGGTTATGGAAAGAGTAAAAACTAATGTAGATAAAATAATCAATGGAAAGAAAGAGAATTATATCTAGTTCAAATGTACATAAGTTTAAAAAAATTCTATCAGCAATGGGTTGCTGGCATCAGAGAATCAAATACATCCCCACTGAAAATTTTGTAATTTTGAAGGGGGGTGACCTACATTTTAGCCAATTTTCATGAACATTTCATGTAACTGATGTTAAATATGTATATTCTCATAAATGGCAAATATATTTATTTGCATATCATTTCTTATTATTGACATAATTAATAAATTGATTAAATGCCAAGGGCAGATAAATCATATTGTCTAACTGAATGCAGCGCTCAATTGTAAGCAAAGTGCTTAAATAACTGCAGTTCTGAGGAAATTAATTTTCAAATAATCTATAAAAAGTTCTAAATAACTAACATATTAAGATATTAACTAGATTTTCTAAGAAAACCATACCTTGGAACTCTTAATGAAAGCAAAGGGATCATCCCGAGAGTGTCCATGTGTTGTTCATTGTAAGAGGGTAGGGTTCATTCATCTCTTCCTTCTTGAGAATGCATTGCTGAAATACATTTTATTTTATTAAAACATACTGATAAATGCATCCAGTAGCTTATATCATAATTTTTTATTATTTACACCATCTTTTGAATTTCTTTTAAGCATTTGTGATGTAATACTTTTAAAATAATCATGTTAAAATAGAACTTACTCAGATAATTATTTTAAAAAATATCAATGAAATTGAAAAAAATAACTGCAGATAAGCATGACTCTTGTTATCCAAATAAACCAAATTTAAACAAAATTCCTTCATTTTTCAGCATGATTAGAGCACAAAATTACCCCCCACCTTTCTCAGCAGAATCAAGACTGGATATGGCAAGGAGGAGGGATATTCAGACACCTTTTTCATAATTTTTTCAGTTATATTTTTGCATATTTGTTGCATTTTCAATGTATTTTCTGCAAAAATATATTGTACAGTAATTTAAATTAAATTTCCTACTAGTAATCTCGAAGTTTCACCAAAAGCAGAACTTTTATTTCAAGCCAGCACTGATTACATGACTGAAACTGACTTTGCTGCTGGATTATGCCCCTTATGTAAAAACAAAGTAACCTAATTAGTTAACAGCAGTCAAATTTTGTTATAAATTATTCAATCAACTCTGATTAACACAAATTTGAAAGAGGATTACTCGATCTGTTCCAATGTCTACACTCATAAAATACGACATGGATTTAAATGAATTTCTCAAACTGCGAGGGGGATACTCGAGTTATGTCCAAGACACGATGTAGTTACGATATCGACACATTAATTTTTTATAGTTTTCTATTATATTTCTCTATTCTCGTTTGTTTATTACAATACTTCCTGTTTTAAGACTATTTCCTTACTGTCAATATCCTCGATATCGTGCCGATATCGAATCATGGTTGTGGTTTCAATCCTTAATATTGTGTTTCCGACAACTATTACTTAAAACTTTCTTTATAAATCTTTCCCTGAAGTGTCGATATCGTCGATATCGACGATATCGTTTCGATATCGAATCATGTTTGCTTAGCCCTTGGTAAATACCTTCCCTGTTACTTTGAATGTGTTTATGTTTAATTACTTTACTTTTACAAAGATTTTACCTGCCATCGATATCGTCGATATCGACGATATCGTATCGATATCGAATCATGATTGTTAAGAGCATATTACTTTACCAACCTTCACCCTAAATACAAAACTTTATTTTTTCAACACTTCTGTGCTTAATAAGTTTACCTTACTGTCGATATCGTCGATATCGACGATATCGTATCGATATCGAATCATCATTGTTAAAACATTTTCAAGAATTGTCACCCTAACCCAACATCTTACTCTAAATCTAATCTAAAACAATAACAACCCAAATACGTTCTTAATCATAATTTATTTTCATATTCATGCCAATAATGAATCAATTTTGACTTCACTTGTGACTTTGTAAAATTATGTTTTACCTCAATGTGAAAATAAATTGTGCAAATAGGATCGATATCGATACGATATCGTCATGATATTGTCGATATCGACGACATCGACATAATAGAGAGTTTCAAATATGGCACCAGATATTTCCAATTAATAGTGCTGATCACGATCGATATCGATACGATATCGACATAATATTGTCGATATCGTCGATATCGACATCGAATTCGTTCTTGGACATGTATGGGATACTCATATGTTTTGTGTATTGATGATGCCCATAAATATTGATATTGTATTATTTACAATATTCACAGTAAATTTCGGTATAAATATTTATTTAAAATTATTTACATGTACATTTACTGAAAATATGAGAGCTAGGGCAAAAATTTTGGCATTTTTTCACTATGTGCAGTGCCCATTGTGAGCCTCAACTTACCCAAACCCTCTAATTTTTAAACAAATAGTCAAAACTAACTAAAATATAATCTCAATGCCAAAAAAAATAGGAACTGATTGATTTTTTGGCTGTAATCAATGTTTATCCATGAAATCATACCTATTCTATAGGACAAACACCACCAAATGTTTTCCCATAGACTTCCATACAAACTTTAGCCCCTCTCACTGATACATATATTGAATTTCGGGCAAATGACCTTTTTGTCGTGAAAGTTCGAGATATTGGAAAACAAAAAATGCCAGAAAAAATATACCGTGCCGTTGCACTTTTACTTTCAATTTCCATTTGTTTACAACTAGGTGCGTTTGACACCAAATGAAAATCTCTGACCAAAGTGCATCCCTTCCTTCAAATTTTTACCTGTAACTCCTATGTACCTCAAAGAAACCCAAGTCTTGATATGAGATTTTTATCAACTTTTAGTTTAGGTTTATGGTTTGAAAATAGTTTTTATTAATTTTGAAACCGGTTTTATGGTTTAATGGTTTAGCACTAAATGGAAAGTTTCAGTTAAACACACACACAAACATCAAAGATGGATGACATAGAACTGACTACTTGATTTTTTCTTACAATCTGAAGAAGATATTTCTACAACTTAATTATCTCCAATTACATGAGAGTGTAATTGTAATACTCATGCTGAGTTCTACCCTTCTTATAAAAAAAGAGATGACAAAGGAAGGTTCGTGTCACAAGTTATGTTGAGGCAATACTACCCTTGTATAGAATGGATGATTTCCGTGACAGATTTAGAATGAACAGACATACCCTTGAGTCCCTAATTACCATGTTAGCTCCATCTTTGATTTATGAATGATGATCATAACTTCAACTAACAAGAATGGATCTACTTTTATCATAGACATAATTAACATTTACCGCGGTATTTACATGTATGTCTCTGCTTTTATTAATTTACTTTTAGTATTTGTCTTATTATGGTTACATTTTTATTACAATTGAAGTGAAACAACAATATGTGCCCTAAAAACTAGTCGATTCTGTCATATTGCTGCACACATTGGTCGCAATGCATCACCAAAAATTCTGCATTCGCCATGTTGAAAGGAATTAAAACCGTCAAAACCACACCTGGAGGTGGTTTAAAGTTTTCAGGAAACTAGTTTTAGTTTAAAGCCGATAAACGAAAAAACTAGGTTAGGTTTGAAACCAATCGTAACTACTCGGCCATTTCCGTGAACGATAAATAACTTTATCGTTCACGGAAATGGCCGAGTAGTTACGATTGGTTTGAAACTAGTTTGTTACAAGTTTTGCAAATAAATAGAAAGTTTGGAAAACCGAACTGAAACGTAAACTGGTTTCTCTGCAATAAAAACGCCCTTTATTTCACTTGTCAAATACATAACATTGACCAATCACGCGCCAGCTAGCATTTTCTTCTCCGCACAACTTTGTATTTGTTTATGTAGGGGTTTTTCCTATATTTGCAATATACTTTCGCTTTCAAGTCGTAACATTTGGACAAAATAAACAGAGAAAACAACTTTCCAGAGGCTATCCAAGTCCAACATGCCCTTCATTGATGAACATATTTTGTTTCTGCAATGATGGATTTCACTGAAAGCACGGAATTAATTAGGTGCATTTTCTGAAAATATATGCATTTTTAAAAAGATTTTTTTTCTCAATTTAAATATGTTTTCCATGTATTTTTTATCAAGTGATACTTTCTATCTGTTAATCAATGAAAAAAGTTTAAACTGTAAAAGTTTTAACTTTATACCTCACATAGTTTTGGAGCTATTGTAAAAATAAATTTTTAGACATGTTGACCTTTGACGAATCCTTAACAAATCATATTTTATTTGTATTTCTGATATTTTATTTACCTGTCAATGGTTACAAACGGACTAAGTGGCCTTAATGCAATCTAAAGGGGATCAAGAGTAAAATATATATCTTAAGATGCCATACTTTAAGCGTGAAAACGCATAACAATCAACAAAATAATATTGATGTAATACCCGAAGCGATCGACAAAAAGGGATTGCAGTAAATCGAAGGTTTTTCTAATGATCGATTTTTTTAACCCGAAAATTTTAATTCTGCAGCTAACAAACATTTAGATAAACTAAACCAAATGACAAAGATAAAAAAAAATTACAAAAAATACACGATTTTTAATCATACCAGAAACGATCGACAAAAGGCGTGTATTTTAAATCTGGCCCTCGTAAACCAAAAAATAAAAAAAATACATTTTTATTTTAATAAAATAAAGTCTGTTGCCCCCATCCCAACCCCAATTTATCTAAAATTGTCAAACGACCACTGAAAAATACTGAATATTGTTTGATAATAATATCGTTGGTATCTCTAGCTTGAGTTGTTCAAAAGTCGTTAAAAATATGTTTTGTTAATTAGTTGAGTTTTAGATAGCATCAATTAATTCTAATGTATTAATTCATTTACAAAGCTTAATATTTTCAATTACTATACACATTCCTTTACATTGTTATAATATTTTCAGTTATACTTAAAAAAAAATACTCAGTGTCATCATGCACGAGCAGGACAGGTAGAAGGTAAAAACAAAGCTAAGAAAAACTATAAATTCTTCAATCTTGACGGTTTTTAAAACCAAAATAAAGAAAGAACTAAAAATTAACATGTCTCATTTTGTTTTTAATGTTATTATTGTTGCGAATTAACTACATGTCAAACTTAAATAATTCAAAACTTTTTTGAAATTTAATTTTAAATTCATTTTTTATAATAAATAATGTAAAGGAATTTGTGCAGTCCAAAACTGAATTATTTAAGAGTTTTCTTGATTTGAGTTGAAAACAAGAATATCATCAGTCTCGTTTTAAGTCATCATTTCGTAAGCTCTAAGGTCGATGCAATGACTTTATCAGCAAATACAACTTATCATCGAGTCAAATGTTGACTGACGTTTTTCATACTACTTGTTAGGCCATCATTTACAAGATGAGCAAATACTGGAGATTCTATTATTCTGAGCATTTTGATTTTTATACCTGACTACTGGGAGTATTCACTTTTTAAAAGACAAATTATTTTCGCTTATGTGATTACCACGAGTATCTAGTTAACAGTTTTACAATAGGACTTCAGCTCAATTTCATACGACCCCCGATTTGGTTTAATGAAACTTTTTGTCAGTAAACGGAAGGCAAGTGATTAAAATATATTATACAGTAGTCATCTATAAAAATCAAAATGCTCAGAATAATAGAAATACCGGCATTTGCTCGAATTCATGTTAAAATAGAACTTACTCAGATAATTATTTTAAAAAATATCAATGAAATTGAAAAAAATAACTGCAGAT